TATGTGTGTGTATGTGTATATATATATCCTTGCAAGTAGCAAATCCAATGCTTGCTTGCATTCAGTGCTTATATGTATAAAGGGGAGATCAAGTAAGGAAATGTTCTTTAATCAGTCTGTCATTAACACTAATGTTTGTCTAAATCAGATTTGGCGTGTGGAGGGAGGGGAGCGTGTCCCAGTGGATCCCTCTACTTACGGGCGGTTCTTTGGGGGAGACTGTTACCTGATCCTCTACAGTTATAAACAGGGAAGTAGGGAGCAGCATATCATCTACACCTGGTCAGTCCATATGTGTTTATAGTGGTTTATAGTATATTATCTGTGTTGTTTGTTTCATATAAACAAAGTGTCATTATATTGCATGCATGTGATGTGTTATAGGCAGGGCCTGAAGAGCACTCAGGATGAGCTGGCAGCTTCTGCTTTTCTTACAGTCCAGCTGGATGACTCCATGGGAGGAGCTCCAGTTCAGGTGAGAATTACCTTTGAAAAATGCTTTTTGAAAACAGCATACAATAATGTTTTAACTAACATGGTTAGTATACTGTTTACTGACAAACTTATAGGGTATAGGTTTAGGTTTGGGTTGTACATTTTGGCATGAACCAAAGTGTACAATTCTTTATGATTTCCCAATCTTTTAGGAATTATTATTACATGTTTGCATGCCACTTGGGTTGGGCAAGCCTATAAAATCCAAGAAGTCCAAGAAAGCCCAAAATTTGCTGTATTTCTGATGGTAACCACCAGGGTGTGATCTTGATCAGAAGAGCCATTAAATTAACCTAGTTTGTCTGTTGTGACTTTTATAAATTTTGTTCACATGTACCATCATTAAAATTATTTTATCCACCTCAATAAATTGCTCAGGTGCGAGTGACACAGGGTCAAGAACCTCCCCATCTGATGAGTCTGTTCAAGGGCAAACCTATGATCATCCATACTGGAGGCACGTCCCGCAAGGACGGCCAGACCAAGACAGGCAGCACGCGCCTCTTCCACATCCGACAGAGCTCCTCTAGAGCCACACGCGCTGTCGAGGTCAGGCACAGTCTGAATACTCTCGTACATACAGTATAGTGTAATGTTTCTCATGAATCACCTATAACTTCCATTGTAGGTTGAACCATCTGCATCCAACTTAAACACCAATGACGTATTTGTGCTGAAGTCGTCAGATTGTGTGTTTGTGTGGAAAGGCGCAGGTGCCAGCGATGAAGAAAGGGTCGCTGCGAAGTATGTTGTAAGTGTGCTGGGAGGACAATCCACTGATTTGGCCGAGGGTAAAGAACCAGGTGAGTGTCTGCCATGTGTTTTATGATGTATTATATGAACTATATTTCTTACATAGCTCTCTCCTCAGCTGGATTCTGGTCGGCTCTGGGCGGGAAGAAGGGGTACCAGACATCTTCAACTCTACGAAATATGGTCAAACCACCACGTCTGTTCGGCTGCTCCAATAAGACAGGCCGGCTAATGGTAACTGAGCGTCACAGAAACACACAGGCAAGCTGGAGGACAGCTGCGGTTTGTAGTAAATATGGTGATTTCATGGATCGGATGTCTTGTTCTTCTTCTCAGGTTGAGGAAGTTCCTGGAGACTTCACTCAGTCAGACTTGGCTACCGATGATGTCATGTTGCTTGACACCTGGGATCAGGTGAGTTGATGCACAGTATGTAGTTCAGAACAGTGGTTCTCAACCAGGTGGTCTCAGCAAACTTCTAATGTAGCTTCAAGATGACTAATTTGTCTCCCATATAAAACACGTTCCCTCATTTTTATTAAATTATTTATAAATCATATAATAAATGTGAACATTTTTAGAACTGGGAAAGTCATGGAAAATAATACAATTTTGAAAAGTAAAATGCACATTAAAAAGAAAAATACACATTTTTTTTTAGTTATGTCAAGCGTTAAAATCTTTTATAAGTAGAAATTATCATATTTGTAAGTTAAAAATATTTGTTAAAAGCCTTATCCCATAAACACATGTAGAAAAGAGGAAATTAACACTAATATAATTTTAATATAACTATTATAATTATTTAATTTAATTTATTTATTTTACTATATTAATAAAGTTTGTGTTAAAAGGTTTGAAAACAAGCAGCTTCCTCATTATAGCAAAGTACCAAAAATATTTTGTCTTAGATGATGAGGGGCCTTGGAGTTAAAAAGGTTGAGAACCACTGGTTTAGACTGTAGCTGTGTCCCAATTCAGGGGTTGCATTCTTAGAAGGACACAGACTTCAAAGGCCACACCTTTAAAGTCTGTGAAGGTCAAACCGTCTATTGTTAAATGGGACAGTCTAGCCTACGGAGGACTGCTGTGACAGCTGCAGCTGATGAGCGGCAGTCATGTTTGTACTGGAGTTTTATTCAGGGTGGCACAGTGGCTCGGTGGTTAGCACTGTTGTCTCACAGCAAGAAGGTCCGAGCCCCGGCAAAGAGTGTGCATGTTCTCCCTGTGTCTGCGTGGGTTTATGCCGGGTGCTCCGGTTTCCTCCCACAGCCCAAAGACATGCAGGTTAGGCTAATTGATCATTCTAAATTGTCCCCGGACGTGTGTAAAGACAAGACTTGTGTATGGATCGACTTGTGTATGGTTTAACTGGTTCTCGCCATGAATATAGCCATAGATGCTGAATTGGCGTTAAGAAAGACATAAACAAACAAACAAAACACTATGGGATAGCCTGGGCTACGAAGGATCCATTTGTTTGTATGCTTTGTGTCCTGGGAAACGAAGGGCGCATTTCAAGTCTTGAAATGGGGCAGCTTTTGTTGTGCCACAGTGATGCATTCGGTCTTGGAAAGCAGCCTTCGACGGATGCAGCCTCTAAATTGGGACACAGATTGTATCAGCTAGCACATGTATATAGTTCATGGGCTGTAATGCTGAAGAACTGCTGCTCTTTCCAGATCTTCCTTTGGATTGGTAAAGAAGCCAATGAGGTTGAAAAAACTGAGTCACCAAAAATAGGTGAGTGACATGTTTACTAAATCATTGTTTCATGATAAAACATCGAATTTTACGTTTTTGAACAGGATTTTGGTTAACACAAGCTTAAGATATTCTTCCATTTTTTTCTATGTCAGTAATACCCCACTCCCAATGATTTTTAAAGCTTTTATCATCGTGAAAAAGGTGGTTGCTAACAAATGGCTAAATGGGACAAGAGAGGTTGTCAGGGACCTTAAACTTCATCACGCCCAACAAATCAACTTCTCTTCTCAGTAGTCTGCTTTTATAGCCTAATTTTCACACTCTTGCAAACTATTCTAACTCAGACTTTCTAAGCTATAGATTTTAAATTAGGATCAAAAGAGTTGTCAGAAGCTTAATGGTAGTGACATTTAAGTCATAGTTCGTTTATATCCTAACTTTAGCTTTTTACTTCGGGCGATTGTATTTAGGCTTCAAAATTCATAAAATTTGTTGATGAGGAAAATGTGTAAGAATCACAGAGCTTTTGTTAATCACAGAGCTTATTTTCTGCAATAATCCAAAAGTCAATGGAAAACATTTTGTTGAGGGAAACAGGATGATGCTAACTTACAAGTTGACCTACAAAAATATGTCATTCCTATAGCACTCTATATTCTGTATATATATATAACTGAGTATGTTCTTTGTCTGTAGCTAAGGACTATGTGGACTCTGATCCTTCTGGACGTCGTGGACTGCCCATCACAACCATAAAGCAGGGGGCTGAGCCCCCAACCTTCACAGGCTGGTTCCAGGCTTGGGACCCACATATGTGGGACACTGACCCTCTGGAAAAAATCCGAGCTCGCTTTTAAACCCAAAACTGTTCCCTCTTCTTTGTATAAGCACTTCTTGTTCCTGTGCATAAATTGCAACTTTCCAAGGTTTTACACAATCTAAAGATTGGTGAAATGCCCATCTCGCTTAAAAGTCCACTCTGTATTTTTTAATTTTTTTGGTTAACATTATGTTGACCATTATGCGATTGGTCTTGGACTGTAACTAGTTTGTAGTTACAGATGCCATTGTAGAAATAATTAATTTATTCAGTAAGCAAAAGAGTCAAATTATAGGTGAATTACTGAAATTAAAAGCCAAAGTAGTATTTGGCTGGTCATGAGATCTTACACGTCTGCCCTCATGAGGCAACCCCACTCCATGTAAAATAAAATGGCTTATTTAGTACTACTGCTTTTTTTTAATCTCATGTTCATTTTAACCGTAACCAAAAGTACTGTTTTAATGAGGAAAATTACCATCGTTAAAACTGACAGATTTCAGATTACAGATCCATAGTTTTATTGAACCTAGTTCAGTCAAATGGATTTTGGGAGTGTTTAGCTGTGTTCAAGCAGAACCAGCTGTCATAATAGAAGAAATCTACCAAAATCATTAGCAATCATAATAGTATGAGGTATGATGCATAAGGTATGTTACCCTGTTAACCTTGTTATTTTGTCAAGCATTTTGGCTATTTATTTCTGCCATTATGGCTTCCAAACTTGTTACCATTATAAAATATGTGGCAAACTTCATGACTATTGCTTTTACACACAAGCCATTGTTATATGTTCAGCTTGTACAATGATGTTATCATGTTGGACTTTAATAAATTGAGATTTTGAGAAAGTGAAATTATATTTGTATATTTACTGTATTTGCTATTTTTATACAGTAGTGAGCACACCAATTCTACATTTTTATAATAATAACAGAACAACTGTTCAAAAGTTAATGTTCAGTACTTAAAAAAAAAAAAGATAAAATCACTGGGTTCATTCAGGAAGAACACATTAAATTCAATCAAAAAGTGAGAGTAAAGACAACATATTTCTTGTTCAAATAAATGGCTTTCTTTAAAGCATTTATTTTTTATTTTAAGCAATTCATCAAAGAACAATGAAAAAAAAAATCGTGCGGTTTCCACAAAAATATTAAGCAGCGCAATGTTAATAATACACACACATTTATTATAATAAGATATGTTTCTTGACCACCAAATCAGCCTAATATAAATGATTTCTGATGGACAATGTGACAGTGAAGACTATCTTATCTGTTGTACTACTCCTCAGTTAGACTTTAAACAGGATCACTGGGATTGAGTCATGGGTGTTATTCAAGTCTAACAAAACTAGATCACACAACACCACTGTTCTGAACAGTTATGAAGCTACCTGCTTTCTCTAGACAACCTAGTATCTCTAGAATGCCACATTTACCACAAACCAAGCTTGTCTGACATCACCATCATGATATGATGCAAATTCAGGTTTTAAATGAATCTGAAGAATCACCTGAGAGTATGACCAAAAACTCAGAACTGGTAATGGACAGGGCTAGAAAAAGAAAGCAATGCTTCGTCTTCAGTAATATTCTGTAAAACTGCGATTAACCTTCATGTTTAGATCGGAGAAGGTTTTGGGATGTTTTCGTCTGATTTCAAAATTTTACACATGGTGATACATAAGGAAGCACTCTGAAAAACTGAAACAGTAACAATTTATAAAGAGTGGCTTGAATCTAACAGTTAAATAAAAACCATATAATTCTATATTGTAGTGTTGTATTTATCATTGCTTGGTACCTCAGAGTTAGTAAGTTAATACCTACAGTTGGAACAGCAACACAAGGCTAAAATGAATTTATTTTAGCCTATTGTCACATTTTGCATGCCAGCTGGGGAGACTCTCAGACTCTCTGTTGCCTCCAGCACAATCTGAAAAATTTATAGAATAGCATAATTTTAGCCACATAGCTAAAAGCTTGCCAGTGAATGTAAAAGGTATGGAAAAAATGACATTTTCTGTTGCAGCTTTGCAGTTTTTAAACGTGAAAAATCGTTCTTAAAAATAAAATGATGATAATAATAATAATAATAATGTATTGGTATTAGTAATGTATTATTATTATTATTATTATTATTTCATGATTTGTTGAGAATATCACAGATGAGAATAAAATGACAAATATGTTTTGTATTAAAAGTGCCAAATAAAAAGCTTGAAGTTTTGTGCATATGGCAAGAGTCCGGTGTGACGTCACGTGCATTCTTCTCGTCTGCGTTCCTGATGCAGGGTGGGTCACGTGGTCATTCCCTTTTCCCTATAGTTCCTTAGGAAGAGCGCAACAAACACAGGCAGTTCACCAGGGTTTGAGACGCAGCTTGTGTGTCGCGCTCTCAATCTCGGACAGCGCACTGGTCCACCTGGATGCCGTGACTTTTGTTTCTTTGCATTCAATCCAAACAACAGAGACACTTTGAAAATGGCTGGAGCAATTATTGAGAATATGAGCACCAAAAAGTTGGTGATTGTGGGAGTAATTCTCCTTTTATTCCAGGCGTTCTCCTTTATGGTCGGAGGACTGATTGGTGAGTAGCTGCTTTTACAAATCCGCCTAGATTTGATAGTTCAGGCTTTGTTGGCTTTTACTACACAGTATGTTGCCATTCGTTCTGGTTGCAACATTAGGTGGTTTTTAGCAAAAGAAAAAAAGAGTCTTCTTTGCGTTCTAGGACGGAGTGAAAAGTTGCGGACTGGCTTTGTTACACTAGTGTCAAAGATGGGCGCTTATTTTCACCTCGTCGACTGACTGGTGCAGTCTTTGTGCTGTTGCTTTCAGCGTCCCGCCTGTAAGTTTGAGAGCAGATCAGACAGACGCGACATTGATTTTTACTCGCTACTTCTGCGCCTTGATGTCTCTTGTTTGTTCTCGGTCCCTGAAAAATGATATGAGAAACTAAAAGGAGAAAGGCTTGTTTAAACCCACTTTATCTTTTATTATAACATTGTGAAGCGTCTTCCATATTTACGTTGTTTACTAGCTTATTTTAAACAACTTTTAATTAATGTTCAAGATAGTTCTTTAAGTTTCCACTGCAGAGCAGACACACTAATAAAATTCAAGGAAAACCGTAGTACATTAAGAAGTGTTATAGACAAACAAAAGGTGATGTTAGCAACGAAGTATGTTGTATATTACAAACTTTATTTGCTAATTTTAGTCAATTAACTTGTACCAGTCTTGTATTCTGTTGTTAAATTCAGTCTTTCTACTTCTCATCAGCCAATAAAGGGTTAAACGAGGTGCATCTCTAGAACTTTTCTTTGATCTTACTACATCTGAACAGACAACCCCTCCTCTGTGCCCACAGGCGTTCCTCAGTTTGCATCGACCTCACCAGTGTCGTTTTGTGCCCTTTTGTTACAGAAGCAATGAAATATTCCCTTCTATCTTAAGGCTTGAGTATTTATTTCCAAGTAGCTTGATTCATTTGGCACCACCTGGAAAGACTGTTTTGTCCTCGTCCACTTTTCCTCTTTGCAACCTCAGGCTTCCTTCTGATTTCGATAGGAAGGGGAATCATTTCTTGGTCTCCTGCAGAATGTGGGATGAATGGTGATAAATTAGCTTGCTTTGGCTATTCTTGCCTGTGATTGATTTAATGAAGCAGGATTTCTTTGTGTTTGTTCGGTGGCTGGTGGCAGCCAGGGTAATTGAGTAGAAAGGCGCGCTGCTTCCCCTGTTATTGGACATCTTAAACACGGCATGAGGTCACTGGGCCGAAAAAAGCGACTATTATTTTGTGGTGGTATTTTGAAGAGGGTTGGTTCCTAGGATTGTGGGTCAATGAATAATTTAACTCTGAGGGTTTAGTACAGCTAATTTTGTTTACTTGGTTAGTATATTTCAAAGGAACAGGTTTGTACCACGCAAATGTGAGCAGAGCAATTAAAAGCTTTTTATAACATTTTTAATGGTGCTGTTACTCAATTATATTGTATGAAATACTGATAAACACTCTTGGAATAGAGACTAAACCTGAATAATGTCCTCAAGCTATAGGCTGGTTCACATTATCTCGCGCTTCCTGGTCATTTGCACGCTTTAGATGTCCTTGATGACCCAGGAAGGGCTCTATTGACTCATACTTAACAAACTACCAGGACCAGCCTTCTGAATGGTGGAGGAAGCCTGTTCATACTTTCTCATGCTAATGACCCCCTCTTAGTAAGGATATGTCAGACAGTCACTTTGCAAGTCTTGTATTCATTGTCTAGACATTTGTGTTTCATTTATATATGCCATTCAAAATTTTGGGGTCAGTACGGTGTTTTTTTTCCTCTTAAAAAAAAATAAAAAAAGAAGTCTCTTATGCTCACCAAGGCTGCATTTATTTAATCAAAATACAGTAAAACAGTAATGTTGTGAAATATTATTGCAATTTAAAATAATTGTTTTCTGTTTTTAAAGTATGTTAAAATGTAATTTCCTTCGGTGATGGCAAAACTGAATTTTCAGCAGCCATTATTCCAGTCTTCAGTGTTACATGATCCTTCAGAAATCATTCTAATATGCTTATTATCATAGCTGAAAACTCTTTTTTTTAATAGATTATTTAAATGAATACAATTTACAAAGAATGACAATTATTTAAATATCTAAAAGTCTTTACTGTCACTGTAATCAATTTAATGCATTCTTGCTGGAAAGTATATTTTACTGCTCTTTTCACTGCATTTTTAGTTTTTTTAAGTATAAATTTAAATTTTTAAAACCAACTGTTTGCAATTTATGTAAGAATTTATATAACTTTATATAAAATATGTATAAAAATACATTCTTTTTAAAAAAAAAGTAAAATTCTATGCTCTGTGATTCAAAAAAATCTATTTCTTGTATTCCTGTAAAATAAATGAGAGATTTTGCTTATGTCCTGTCTATGTAGTTATGTGTAAAAATATGTGAATCAATACATCATTATTCTTTATTCCCAAGCTATTCTTAAACCGATATTCAAATATATTTCTGTAGCTCCGAGCCCCACCACTGCCGTCCACTACCTGGCCACCAAGTGTGTGGACACGGTGAAAACACACCATAAGGGCTCCAAGTGGTTCATGCCATGGGGCCCCGACCAGTGCAGCAAGATCAGAGACTTTGATGAGGCCATGGCCAAGAGAATCGAGGCCAACAACATTGTGTTTGCAGTCCACATTCCACTGCCCAACAGAGAGATGAGTGCCTGGTTCCAGTTTATGTTGGTTATCCTCCAGTTTGACATTGCCTTCAAAATGCAAAACCAGATTGGTGAGTAAAAAAAAGTGTTATTGTATGTGTTTGTTTTAGTGTGTTTGAGGTTGTAATGTGCACCTCCTGTGGCCCCCAAAAAACCATAAACATGACATCACTATATGGTTTATAAGCTTATATGAACATCGCTATTGTGTCGAAAGTGTAGGAGGGGACACATGAACACCCAGAGGAATTTCCCATTCTATTCACTCAAAAGTAGATTGGATTTCTCACATGCTGTGAGAGGACTAACAATGATAGATGGTCTGTTTTCTCACTGTTGTGGTTGGAGCCTGAGGGACCTCAATGAGGATTAAGTCAGCACGCAGGTGGGGGGCTGCTCAAGGCTTTAACACAGACAATTGGAGGATAATAAATAGGAATGTAGTCCTCCCATCTGGTTTGATTGCCATTTCAGAATTAAGATACACAAATCAAATTTTGAAGATTAAAGAAATATCTCCAGTAATGTTTTATCCCATTAGACTGTTACATTCCATCACCATTTTGTATTTAAATCGGGTTCCTTTTCACAGTTTTTCTTGATTTGTCAAGTTAATGTGTCTTTGTTTGAACCTGACGGGTTCCGGCCGTGTGGACCTGCATAGTACTGCTGCCATTTAAAATCATCTGGCTGTGGGAGGGTGGGGATCTGGAACGGCTCCAAGTCTGCCCTTTCAAAGACAGGATTAAGTGGATAACACTGACTAATGAAGAGCCATTGTCGAGCTAGAGCAGTCTGGGAAAGTGATCGGAACGTCTGCTCCTTCTAGCAGCAGGAGCACCTTTGCTGGCTATTCAAGTCTTGAGAAATGGAGGAGTTTTTTGGTTCCTTAACACATTAACTAGTGCTAGTGTGGAAGCTACCATGGTCTTGTTGTTATATACCCCACCCTGAAGCACGTGCTTGTGCATAAAGTAGGAAAAAAATAACTTTTTTTTATTTATTTTTTTTACTTTTACCTTTACTGCAGATCTTTGCATTATTAATTATGCATTCAGCACTCGAATAAACCATTTTTGTACAGTTCAGGGTTTTGTAGCACGATCTGGATCATGCTCTCCTAGAAGATTATCCTCAACCAGATGTTATGTGTTTACCCTAAGTCTTGTGTGATCTTCTGCCAGCTGTTTTTCGGTGTATCCTGTTCTCCGAGCAAGACCTCACAGAGTGTCAGCAGTCTTACTAATAAGGTCCTAGCAGGAATTCATTTGGCACTCAGCATTTCACAATGAAAAAGTAACATATTGCACAGTGAGAGAGAGGTGTGTTCATGTTTCTTTTTAATTACAGTTGGCTCAGTGGCAGTGTTGGGGGTAATGCATTACAAGTAACATGAGTTATATCAGATTACTTTTTTCAAGTAACTAGTAAAGTAACACATTACTATAAAATATCTGATTGATTTTTCAAGCAACACCAGTTAATTTCTTTCCCCATTTATTGACTGACAGCTCTCCTGTCCCCATGTTGAGAGAAATCTGCACTAAGTGCAGAGGTGTTGTGTGTGCTGTGTAAACATGATGGCTACTGTAGTTCTAGACTAAATGTGAACATGCATTTACTCATCTCAAAAAACAGATTCAGTATTTCTCAGAACGAATAAATACAATGAAATGAAAACTCAGAATATGATGCATGTGTCCTTTTATTGCTTTGACAAAATGCTGCAAGTTTCTTTGTGAAATTGAAATATAACACTATAATAATATACTAATATAGCCGCGATTTGATTAGCATCTTAACCGATTTGAATCTGTTACAAATAGATACATGTTACACCCCTAGATAAACGTAACATTTGTTTCTTTTTTTAAATTACTGAAGAGTGTTGAACTTTCTTCTCCTGCATATTTTTATTTATGCAATCCAGAATGGCAGCACAGCTGAAAGGTTTGTTTGAGCTGCACCCTCTACTCGGATGCGAGTTTACATTTCCTTCAGCCTGAGGCTTATTCATTTAACTTTTGGTGTGAAAGTGCTTTTATATTTGCCCAAAATAGAACTTATGTAAAACAAACAAACAAACAAGCAAGCCCAGCACAGATGAGAAAAAAGTAACACAAAATGTAAAGTAATGAATTACTTTCCATTAAAATTAACTCAATTAGTTACTTTTTAGGTAGTAATGCAATATTGTAATGCATTACTTTTAAAAGTAACTTGCCCCAACACTGCAGATTGGTGAATGCAAAGCAAATTTATAAACAGATTTTATGTTACCAAATCTCTCCTTTCTGGTTCTTTTACCACTCAAAATGTAAAATAGTAATTTTGACACATTGCTTAAAAAAGGTATTTAAACACAGAGATTTTTAATAGGGGCATTGTAACTAAGAGCACTAAACTAATGCATATTTACAGTCTCTGTTTTAAGTTAAATGTTTTTAATCAAATTAAGTGAAATCATATAAAAGAAAAATTATATACCTAATTGTAATTTTGCCCAGTGATACAGTGATTGGAATTATTACCAAAGTTTTTGATGAAAATTAACTTGCATGGTGCTGCATCCTTTCAATGAAAGTTAGTACAATTTGCAACAAAACTTGTATTAAACTAGAGTTTAAGGTATGATACACTGCCGTTCAATGGAGTCAGTAAGATGAAAAATGATAATACTTTTATTCAGCAAGTATGCATTAAATTGACCAAAAGTGACAGTAAAGACTTAAAATGTTGCAAAAAGATTTTGAGAAAAATTTCTCACAGTTTTCCACAAAAATATTAATCAGCACAGCAGTTTTCAACTTGGATAATAATAATAATAATTGTTTCTTGAGCATCAAATCACCATATTAGAATAATTTCTGAAGAATGATGCGACACTGAAGACTGGAGTAATGGCTGCTGAAAATTCCTCTTTGCCATCCCAGCAATAAATTTAATTTTTAAAAATATTAAAATGTTAAACAATTACATTAGAATATGGTTATTTTAAATTGTAACAATATTTTGCAATATTACTATTTTTTACTGTTAATCTGGTCGAATAAATGCAGCCTTGGTTAGCATAAGAGACTTAATTAATTAAAACTTTTCAACAGTAATGTATATTGTGGTATAAACCCATCATAACCTTGTCTAAATTCTTTAAATTACGCCATTTTTCCTCTCTAGTAGTATATACTGTATAAGTAAAAAAAAAAGATGTTACCTTGCTTGTTTTGGTTAAGGCAACCACATTAGTTTTAATACATTAAATATCCAAATCTAAAGTAGGCCTACTTTATACTATATTAATCTACAGATTCTGCAGACTTTGGCCAACCATCTTGGTGCCGGCACTGTTGGGTGACATCATCAGAATTAGCCGCTTTTCCACTGTCGGGCCAGTGCTTTAAACGGGCTGGGCGGGGCTAATAGCCTCGGACCTGTAGCACCGAGCCCAAAATCACGATGCGCTTCCACAGTTTGGCCAGAAGCTCCGCTGCGCTAATTTAAAACATTATAATTTTCAAAATAGTAATTAGAGTAAAGTTACAAACCGAGGTCTCTATACGGTACTGCCACGTTACATTGCTGACAGAATGCAGTGTTTTATCATCTAGGTTGTAAAAAGGATGTAGCACACGCACTGTCGAGTCCAGTGCCAGTGGATTAGAGACCTGCTCCCGCGAGACCCGACGCAACAGAGTGCGGCGCGGGACAAGATGGGCGAGTGCCGGTGCGGGCAGGTAGACACTCATGTGTGTGTGCTGGATGCGGGAGAATAAAATGATTCATGGGACTCCTGCAAAATAGACACATCTAAACATAAAATATCTAAAAAATAAATAAATTGTTATTCATCTATTGCACAAAAGCAACAAGAACTAATATAAAATAAAAACGATGGTCCCACTTTATATTAGGTGGCCTTAACTACTATGTACTTACATCAAAAAAAAATAAGTACAATGCACTTATTGTGTTCATATTGTATTGCAAAACAGTTTTTTCTGTTATTGAGGTGGGATACGGGTAAGGTTAGGGACCGGTTTGGTGGTGTGGGTAGGTTTAAAGTGCCCCTATTATGCCTTTTCGAATATTACCTTTCATGCAGTGCGTCATGTAGCTGTATGTGAACATAAACTATCTGCAAAGTTGTGAAGCTGACAGTGCACGATAAATAAAGTTATTGTCTATCAAAAAAAAAAAAAGAGTCGGCTCGCAATCGCCTAAACAAGTCGTCAGGAATTCGAATCTTATTTTGTTACGGCTCTACGTCACGAAGTAACACATTCGCATAATGTCTGCCCATGTTCTACGTCGCCAACTTGCCTGCCCACAAACACAGTAACATTTCCGTGTGGTTAACATGTCGAGAAGATGCTGTTTCCTATGCTGTGAGAGTAAATTTGTTTTATCACATCTTATAATCACCACAAACTTGTTAACACTTGACGCTTACCACTGAGAAACGTCCTGCTCCAGTCGTGCTTGTGAATCAGTCTCTTGTCGATCAGCCACTTCAACCGTTTCATCATCAGACTC